AGTTTGTTGTTTAGTTCTATTTATTGATCTTAATCTAATTTTAGCACAGTCATATCCTTTAAAAATATATTTATAAAAATATTTAAAACTCTTAATACTAGAACAGATTTTGATATTAATATGGCCATTATATTTTAATAATAAGTATAGATAATGGGATACTACCCATTGGTATATTGTTTAACTTCTATAGTTTTTCCAGTATCTTTTCGTCGATAAATAGAAAAACCATTATTGTTTGCTACAGTTTCTTGAACAAAATTTTTGGATAATTTTTTGTACAAAGATTAAAATTTTCTTTATTTGTATATGGAGCATCAGAATTTATATGACTGCAAAAACTATGAATCATTGTTTTTTGTATAATATTAAATAGCTGGCGATTATTTTAGAGTCTGGAATTTTACAGTTAACTATTTTGTTAATTATATTATTATCTTTAGGTTTATCTTCATCAGCTAAAATAATTAACATATGGCAGTGGGAAAGATCCATTCTGAAATTCAATAATTCAAGTGAAAGCTATAACTTTCCTAAGAACATAATTTTTTACTAGATCTTCTACTAATAAATCAAGTTTTATTTTAAATACTTTAGCTACAATATCAGAATGGTCAGTTGCATTTTGACCAGGATAGAGAGAATTTGTTATCTTTGGCCACAATAGATTACAAGTAAATGTTAAAAAAAATGTCTGGTTTTCCAAATTTGCAACAAATTGCCATAGCATCTTAGTAATTTTGTTGTATAGCTCAGGGACTTCCTTGAAAGCTTGAAGAAAATATAACTACTTTACTAAGCACAATACTATGTTCATTAGCTGCAGTTTCTAGATAATCTGTTAATTCATTATAAGTTTCTAATTGAAGAGTAACTTGATTTAGACATAAATAATTTAATCTAGTCTCTTCTACTTTAATATAAGCATCAACCAAGTAATGTTGAAAAAGAGGTCCACTTCAAGAATAAGATTAAATATATTTTATTGGAAGATACTATATACATAAAATTGGA